TCCTTGTGTTCCTGTGCAAATTGGAGACATTTTATCTTGTTAACTGCAGACAGCAAAGGTGGTCGAACAGGCCTTCGTCTTCCATATCCCATACGATGCAGTGTACGGCGAACGGTGCGTTCAGAGATCATTTGAGAGGATCCCTGATTAAGATCTGCAGTCATTTCATGCACTGTTGCCCTTCTGTTGTCTTGTACCAGTCTTGCCACTCTCCGTTCTGCCCTAACATTAACTAATCGCTGACGGTCACAATTCGCACGTTCAGACCCAGATTTTCGGCTGACAGTCCGGTCTTTAAACACTTTAACAACAGCTGCTCTTGAACATTTAACGAATTCTGCTGTTTTGCCGATACTCGCTCCATGGCTCCGAGTGCCAACAATCATCCCACATTCAAAGGCTGTTAAATCGCGTTGTTTCCCCGTATCTTCAGAAACAAAATCACTTCTACTGTCGTGGTAAACAACCTGCTGGAAAAAATAAGGTTTATGGGCAAAGTGCAAATTCACTTTAACCTAACCAAGACTAATGCCTTACTCTAAACCCCCATTCACACTTACGACCTCAAGAGTGGCGTTTGCTCACATTTGTCGGACATGGGCAGCCTATTCATTTCAATGGGTTGCTCTATATGAGACAAAAGGTGGCAATGAAGCTCATGTATCTTTTGGAGCTTTGAGCATCTTTGCACTCGTAAAACGTATGTCCTTCCTTGGCACGTTTGGGGTGCCATTAACAATGAATGTCACCACCAGCATGACTTGTGTGATTTTGCATGCGTTGACGTGCTACACAAGTGTGAATGGTGGCTTTACAATAATCTTTTCTCCAACTACAGGGCGAAAAATTAAAGCAGAGCACCAATTAAAGCATTTGCACCATGTGCAAATCGAATCGCAACTATAACATAACAACGGAAATCTGTCTAAAATAAAATGTGTTAGATGATCATTGACAGAAACAAAAAAAGAAAACAACAAAGCCGACTCGTCACCTTGAGCGAAATAGGTAATAAAAAAAAAAAATCCACTTCTAGGAGGTGAGATATTCTCGGCATTACACACCTGAAACAAAAGCATTCGGCAGAACAATGTAATGCATCAGCTCAAAAAAAGGACAATTAGATGTACACTGGATACCCACCTGCCAATCATCACACCACTTAACTCTCTCGAGCGGTTGCCAGTTTTGTACGACATTGCATCCATCGGTTGCTAAATGCAGTTCATTCAGGAAAGCACTTCATTAACATTCTATAAACTCCCCAACACAAATGTCTTTAAAAATAGTCAGAGAGACAACAGCCGCGCACAATCCTTTTATTGTTTCATAAAAACGACTTATCTGCTTGTTCTAGCTGAGAATGAGAGTTACGCTGTTATGCTAACATGAGAACGAACCGTTTGCTTGCCTATCGTCTGTGCCAATAAAAAAATTAGAAATATACAAGACGGCTTTATTGTGTGCATTTAATTACCAGAATAGGAGGTTTACAGGGGAGATCAGTAGACAAAAAAAAAAATGCAGATTTTTAAGTGATGAGAAGTTCAGACGGGGATGGAACCTAATTTTCTTTGCAACAGATTCCTCAATCTACGCTAAACTGTGTGGATGGAGGAATCTCCCACTGGGCCAAGCTTCAGTATCTTGATAGTCGGCCCCGCTGGCTCTCAATACCTGAACAATGCCGGCATCCAATCAGATTGTTCAGGTGTTTTGAGAGCCAGTGGGGCCGACTAGCAAGATACTGAAGCTTGGCCCAGTGGGAGATTCCTTCATGCACACAGTTTATGATGATAGATGGGGGAATCTGTTGCACTTTTTCCATCTGACCATAGAACATCTGGTGTATGGCCAGCTTATGGGCCACAGGTAGGCAGGTGTGCATGCACGCTTGGTAATGTTGTTAGCATCAAACTGCCTATAGTGTAGTGCGACATGGACAGACTGCCAAGTGGTCATCAGCTAGTTCCGAATACCTGCAACCAAACCTGTTGTTCTAATTTCCCGTGTTCAACCCAAAATGCCCCTTTGACCTACTTGTGGATGTTGTCAACCCATTGTGACCCTGGCCTGTATATTGGACTCTGCACCTTGGTGTTTGACACTTTAACATGTGTATGAACAAAGACAGAGCTGCATTCATTTCGGTCTGCCTGCAATTTAGCGTTAAAACAATAAATCCAAAACGAAGGACTCCCAGAGCACTATGGGCTGGGTATAGGAATAGCACAGCAGAGCTTCCTGCTTTACAGCTCCACTTGTCCAATTGAAACCTCCGAAATCAACCATCTAATGCTGGCGGAGTCACTGCTCCGACCAGGGACTGTATAATCAGGTTCCTTTTAGTACAGCCGGCAAGTACTTGAAGGGAACAGTTGTAACAGGTTCCTTTTAAACAACTGAGCTTCATAAGAAAAAAAGTAGGCGGGACAAGCAGTGTGGAAAGTTATAAACATTAATAACAAACAGCAAAATTTCTTTAAAAATATTGATTTAATGAGATGAAATGACCTCATTACACTCCGCAAATACAGTACCTCATCAGGCCCTTAATAAAAAGGATTACAGAGTAAGCACAAACAATATCTTGCAGCATTCACTTTCAGACGCAGCCGTTTGGCGACCACTTAATGGCTAACTGCCCCTTTGCTTTGAACGCGTTCATGGTTACATTTGAAGCAGAATTCCGGGCAGGTCGTAGAAAATTCAATGCTAGTTTATCTAGGACATGAGTAGGTGACCAGACACTCCAGATCTGGTGAAACTACCAGTCCCATAAGGCATTGCAAGACTTGGATATCCTCAGGTATGACTCCCAAATGATGGGATTTGTGGTTTCACCACAGCTGGAGTGCCAAGGTTGCCTACCTCTGCTCTAGGAGATGATTCAACAGAAGGTTCACCTTACTCCATGATCCCACAGCACCCAACTGTCTGATCTTCTTCTCTGCAGTGCCAGACTGTGGGCGGACACTTCTAGGTCATCATGTGCAATGCAGGACCAGCAGCCATTACCGATCCTGCACTGTACATGATGGCGCCAACCAAAGGGATGGTAACAAGACAAGAGCAGCAAGAAAAAAAAAAGTGACTCTGGGGACCGTTTGTCACTATAGGAATTGGTAATAATTCACATTCTCAAACAATTCATCCCCACACAGCTACCTCCTCATGTATCACTGGCCCCTCCCATTTAGATTGTAAGCCCTCAGGGGCAGGGCCCTCCTTACCATCATCCCCACACAGCTACCTCCTCGTGTATCACTGACCCCTCATGGGCAGGGCCCGCCTTACCATCTTGTCTTGAATTGCTGCGCAAACTGTTGGCGCTATATAAATCCTGTATAAAAATAATAAGTAAAACTTCAGGACTGTGAAGCCGAGTAGGTAATACTTTGAAACTGATTTATAAATATGTAGCTGGGCGAATGCCATTTGCACGGCACTACTGCCACTAGATGGAGCCGAGGAGAATAGGAATGTCCAATGTTTTTTGGTACCATATAGCGCATAGGAATTTCCTATGCACCTCGGCTGCATTGTGCGGATGGCATTCGCCCAGCTACACGCTGGGCATAAGATTTATTAATCTTTCTGACAGATCATACCTTTAAAAATGAACAATATATCCGTCATCTGCTGGAGGGAGGGTGGCAAATTACATTTAAGAACTTTTCAGAGCTAGGGTTTTCAGTGATTCCGGTCACTTTGACCTAATAGCACACATGTAAAAGCAGCGTGGATACACCTCCCTTTCTGGCGGTCCTTGTATTGAAAAGCCACTGCTTCTCTGCTCCCAATACCGGCTCCCCCGCTAGCTTGCATGTCAGTAAACAATGCACAATTGGCGGGAGTGGACCCATAGGGTCCAGCAAATATTCAACCCTTTGGGTGCCACACTTGGAATGGTGAACTGCCGGATTTTTCGTGGACCGCGGGTGGAAGGCTATTAAAAGACTGGTAACAAATGTTGCTATTTCAGAAAGGTAACAAAATATTAAAATTCCTGTACTAGAAAAAATAAAAGATAATTGTAAAGGCAACTTAATGCATATTTACATCAGAGCGGAAGAATGTTCCCATCTTCAAAAACATTTCCTTTTTTTTTTTTTTCCTTCCAAGGTAAAAGACGCATTTTTTTTCCTTTCTTTCTTTTAGCTGATAAATATTCAATGTTCGAAAAGAGACGCATTTACAACATGTGAATAATTGAGCTTATAATTGATGCAGTAACATTCAGTAGATGTGACAGGACAAGACGCAGAGTTAATAGGAGGGATCTGTCCTTTCTAAATATAAAAACATTATGTTTATTGGCCCATCAGCAAGATACAAAAGGTGACTTGCTCTATCTGCCAGTGCTAAAAGCTTAAAGTGGACCAGTCTAATGTGAAAATATATTCATTTTAAGCAGTATATATACTCTCGGCTATATAAGTTATTTCCCATAAACTGCTGTTTCTGAGAAAAGTTTTTTTTTTATAGAAGGAAATTGTTTCTAGGCTGAGAATGAGGTCTACAGAGTCCAGTTTAAGGTGATCCTCCTACATACCTCTGTGATAGTTTACATTTCATTCTACCCTTCCTAGTCTAGTTTAGCAAAGCTTCCTTGTGCACTCTGTCCCCTACCAGGGGTCACTCCAACAGTCTTACTGGCATGGATAAAGAAAGGGTACTACAAAGGCCAAAATACGTCCTAAATTATATGGTTAACACTATTTGTAAACATCTGACCATCGCACCAACACTACATGGCCAAAAGTACTGTGCTGTACTGTTGATGCTACAGCATAGAATGACATTGTGGACAACTGTGCCCTTCCTACCTTGTGATAACAGTTTGGTGAAGACCCTTTTCCCTTCCACCATGATTGTCCCCTGCGTACAAAGCCAGCTCCATAAAAGACATGGTTTGAGGAGTTTGTAGTGCAGGACCTTTGGTGGCTTGCACAGAGCCCTGACTTCCAACCCTACTAAACACCTTTGGGGTGGATTAGACCAGACTGTGAGCCAGGTCTTCTTGGCCAACATCAATACCTGACCTGACACATGTTCTTTTGGCTAAATGGGCAGAGATACCCAGAATCAGGAGGAAAGCCAATCAAGAAGAATGAAGCATGTTATAGCAGTAAAAGGAGGGCACCAACTCCATATGAATGCCCATGGTTTTGGAAGGGGATGTCCAAGAAGCTCATATAGATGTGATCGTCAGCTGTCCACCTTTGACCTTATAGTTTACGTGAAGGCAATTGGCGGTGTCAGACAAGTGATCACTAACCGACCACTTATTGTCTCCTTCTGAGGTGCTCCCTTGTTGGCAGGACCAACAAGCCAATTGCTTCCTCACTAGTGAAGTACTGGGGAGATATATTGCTGGCAAAAAAAGTTGAATTGTCCATCTTACATCACCCTAAGGCTCTAGGTTACATCACCTCAGTAAATGAATTCCACAATTCCCCTACCAGCTGAAATCACGTGATGAAGAGTACTGGACTTTCAGATCCAGCACTGAAGCAGCACTGGCTCCCGGGTAGCAAAGTATTTCCGCTATTTTATGAAGTTCTTATATAATCCGTGCCAGTGAGACTGTAATATAGCTTTGCTGGAGGAATAAGGAGGAAAGAAAGATATAAAACCGAAGGAGGAATGTCCTAAATGCATGCTGTAGGCCAGTTTTCTGTTTCTATGGAAACAACACTGATAAGACATTTCCGGAAGATATATTATTAATTACCTCATAATCCAGAACACTGCCGAAGGTCAGTTATTTACAAGTCTTCCCTTTCTTGTAGGGTCCATAAGTGGCACTTTGGTCTTCCTGAATGTGCATCTTGTATAGACACCTGTGCGAGGTCTGCACCTGGCTCTGCAACCAGCCACACAGAAAGGTCCTGCATCACTTAACGTCTATAGAGCAGGACCCAATGCAAACTTCCCTACGCACGGCTCTACTAGAGGGCGGCTCTTTGCTGAACAATATCAACATCTGACAGAAACACACATTTCAGTCAAGGAATATATTTATACTGTACAGTTTGACCTCCAGCAACATCAATATCATTTTTTTGCGTTTCTGATAAAAAAAAAAAAAAAAAGTATAAAAACAGACTAAAAATGCTAAAACAAAGGACGACATGGCATCTTAAAGGATCCTTGCTGCATTTTTTTTTTACATTGAAGTCAACCATTTTGAGGGCCGAAGCAGTTCTCAGGAGAGTGCACTGGGAATTTAGGAATTTATAGCAATGCCATGACTCCATAAATCAGCCAATGCCCCCCGACCCATGACTTCAAACCCTCAAAATGGGTAACGGAACCAGTTTTGAAGGCACCAGGAACCTGAAGGTCTTCCAAAATCTTCATTTTTTTCCCTTATTACAAAAGTTATAATCAAACAACCCCCCCCCCACTCCCCCCATATAAACCGAGTAAATAAAATTCTTTTGAACTGTACAATGGATTCCATTCAAGCTTTCGGGATTAGAGTCCGTCTCTTGAAACAGAGCCGAGTTCAGTCTTGTGGTTTGATGAAGCCTTTCTTGGCTTTACTGCTTTTGATATTACAATTTTCGTCTTCCTCTACCATGGCTTTGCGGTCTCTCTTCTTCGTAAATTTCTGTTTGATAGTCCCCACCAACGATTCATATCTGCAGAGAAATATTAGAAGATTAGCTTCGTCAAGGGCTTAATGGGAAATCCTCAACCTACAGCCCGACCCTGTCACAAAACAACGGAGCAACCTCTTCTTAAATGGAGAGCTGGTGGAAGCACAATGAGAGATAATGGGAGCCAAAGTGGTTGTTTGGTGAGCTCATCAACGTGTAGCAAATCACATTCCACTTGTGCCAAGGCTTCATTTGGGCTAGTTCACACCAGCACCAGTGTGTTCCAGCCCGATTCGTTGCCGAAATACACTGGATCGCATCCTGGCCGTCTCACTGCGTTCTGGGGCAGGAGGCGGCGTGGCAGTGCATTGAAGTCAATGGCACCACAACTCTGCCCCCCCACTTCGGCACGCGTGGCAAATCAAGGCCTCAAATCAAGAAAAAAAATGCTATATCTTTTCTGACCGCTGCAGACCGGAACGCAGGCATTGATTTGCCACTGCTTCTTACTTCCCGTGAGCCAAAGCGGCCAAGGATACACACCCCTAGGGGCATGCCATGGTGCAGCCTATAGCTTATGGTATGCTATTGCATCACAAAGCGACTGTTTCAGCAGCAGGCAGTGCTGCCAATCCAGAAAGCAGTGGGCAGGACTAGTTGTGGTCAGGTGCTGATTTTGACAAGCTACAGGCTTGTGATCAGCACTGACAATGTAGACGGCAGAGCCCCCTGCAACACTTTACATCCCACTGTAGTGCAGGCAGGCACAACCTACATGAAGGCACCAAGGCCGCGCAGTAAATTAAAGCGGACCTTGCAATAAAAAGGACATATAAAAAGAAAAAAACAAAAAGATAGGGCTTATACTTAACCCGCCCCCGCGGTGTCCTAGGCAAGGATGACATTAAAGTCCTCTTGCTGACATCCAGGGGAATACACAGCAGCTGAAATATTGCTAAAAGCCCCCTTTACAATAGACTGGAGTGTCTCCTCGCACAATTTTGCCTCCTCTGCATTCCCTACTCCTGGAAGGGCGGTGGTGATGTCACAGCCAGCGTTGCGGAATACAGGGGTAAGACCAACATTATTCTAACTTATTTGGAAGATACATTTACTAATAGTAGGTGACTTGTAAAGGGGGAGGGGGCCCGGGATATTGGAGCATACCATGCATTTGGCTGCAAGCTTTGCTTTAGAGTGACATTAACCAGTTGCCGTCCGCCCGTTGTAAAAAAACAGACGGACGGCACTGTAGCATTGGCGGGTTGCCGTCTCCGACGGCATTTTTTTTTCTGCTCGCGGTCGCGCACGGGCAGAATAGACCCGACCAATGCAAACACCCGTTGCCGGGTGTTTCACATATAGACGATCGGCGGCTCTATAGCCTGCCGATCGTCTATATGTGCTCGTTTTTTGCCCCCCCCTCCTGACCCCTCACCTTCAATCCCGGGATCCGCTGCTCCATCTGCGGCCCGGGGTCGTGGAGGGCGTTAGGAAGAGGATTTAGGGCCATCAATCACTGATAACACTAAACTGATGAGCGGTAAAAGCTTTCAAAGCGTCGTCTATGGCCAATTTTGGGTATTATCGTTTTTTGAGGTTTCGCGCACGCAATTTTAAACTCCTCTGTCCTTGCTGGCACTTCCTGTCCCACGGTGTCTGCATGCGGGTGCACGCTGTCCATATACTTACCTTGTGTCTCTCCTCGTCTCCCGGTCGAAAATCTGAACATGCGACCGCTTTGCGGCCGCCCAAGCATTTTCAGACGGGAGCCTGCGGCGAAGACAGGGGTAAGTTTAAACCGCTATTAAAGCGTTTCTGTTTTACATATATCTACTGCTTGCTAGCAGTAGATATATGAAAAAAAAACCGGAGGGTTTGATAACTCTTTAAGGAGCAGTGCAGCAGGTCTCACCCTGTCACAGGAAGCTGCACAAAGTGGACTTCACTAGCAGGATCAGCAGGTATTTGTGGGACTTTGCAGGGGGACTAAGAGAAAACTGTAAGTGCAGATACACCGATAATGAGGTGCTGCATCACAGTGTGTAACAGGCCATAGTTCTACCTTTAGATCTATATGGTCAATATGGTTAAAAAGCCACAACTACTGGTCCACACCAGGGAAGTACCGCATTCCACATAAACCAATATTTCTAGAAGCAGAAGTGGAATGAATTGCCTAGAAAGAAGGTGAAACGTGTTAACCGGTTGAATTTAGTAACCGGAAAAGCTCCTCGATTTACAAATCATAGCCGGCTTTTTCATTAGACTCAAGTATTGCTTTGAATAAACATCCCAGTAGTTATAAATGGCTACAACTGTCTTGCAGATGAGTTTCCTTCACCAGATTTACAAACACTACTCTATCACAGTACTCCCATGTGGCAGCTTTCTTCCCGTCATGGCGTTCTCGGGATGGAATCCCTGTGATCTATAGTGAACATTGCTGAATATGATAATTAGGTGGCATATGGCTGCCCCCTCCCGCTGCTCACACTACGGCCTTGGAAGTATTCCTGGGAAGATTGATTGCAGCGTTAATGGATTCTGCAGAGTATGTATATATATTAATGATAAGTCCCTTCTAATTTCCTGACCAGCAAGTGGGAAGATAAATCTCACCTGCGAGCCATTTCTTCATCTGACACATCTACATCCATTTTCCCCTCGTCAAGGTCCTCTTCCGTGGCCCTGGAGTTCATCTGCACCATCAGTTTCTGTAAATGAAGGAAATGCGTCATTAGCATTAGTCAACAGTCCTTAATGAACCGTACTATATATGCGTGGGTTTTATATATATTACATACATACATGTTTTTCTATTAGTGTGTGTGTAAAGTATGCTTTTTTTTTATATATGTCATATACTGCATATTAGGGATGCACAGACACCGTTATTTGGTACTCGCCGATACCGAATACTGATAACGGAAGTCCATTAAGTAAGTTGTAATGACTCGCCGCCCGGCTTCCCAATTAGCCAGAAAGCCATCTCCATGCTAGCTCATCAGCAGGTGATGAGGCAGCATGGAGCCGGCTTTCTGGCCAATCAGGAAGCCAGGTAAATAATAAGCCACCTAGCTTCCTGATTGGTGGGGAAGCTGGTCAATCAGGATCGGGAAGCCAGCTCCATGCTCCTTGGTGACGAGGGAGTATGGAGCTGGCTTCCCGGCCATTCAGGAAGCCAGGGGGCAGGTAACGACTCGCCGCCTGACTTCCTGATACTGGAAGTTCCAGTATCGGGATAGGCAATAGGAGCCTCGTACTCGCCCAAATACTCGGTATCGGCACGGATACCGATACTAGTGTCAGTGTATACCTACTGCATGTGAAATCACATTTACCACTTGCAGCCAGCAGGAGGAGAGTTCTGGTCATGAGCTCTCTGGGGGTCATTCTACAGCTGCTGTGATAATAATTGAGCAGGGGAAATCAGATTACAAAGACTGCTGAATGGAGGATGGACCCACCCAGTCCCTCTGTTCTGGAAGACGAGAACCATTTTAAATTGAAAGTGTCGTTATGCCTATTTAAGGTAATGTAAAAGTCTTGTTTCATTCACACAGACTAGAAAGAAAAATCGGAAGGCTGGGTGGGAGGAGATATCCCCTCCTAAAATGGACCTAATAGGTGCACAAGTGTCTATATGACTGAAGTGGGGTCTGTAAGGGTCACTAATAAAGAGAGGACTAATGTATATTTATCTACTTCATTGCTTACCTCAATCTCTGGGTTAAAGCCTTTAAAGGACATTCGACCAAACAGGAAATCTTCACAGGGAAGGAAGCTTCTTTCTTCAATTATATAATTCCTAAAAAATAAAAAAAAGGAAGGGGATAAACGATTAAGCATACATACTATTTATTGGGCAAGCTGCAACCCTATAGGTGCCAGCATGCCCTGACCATAACTCGGGGCACTCGATTATCCAAATTACTAAAACATGCATGATCACAAACGTGCGGACTCCCCAATGGCCACTAGTTGTGATGGGCAACGTCACAGGACAAAACGGAGGGGCTGAGTCAGAGCACAAACATGCAAGCTCCTGCTGCATTATTTGGTATAGTCCTGAGTTTTGGAGGAGCAAACATGGCGCTCTGTACTAGGGATGCACCGATACTTGTACTCGCCCAAATGCTCAGATACTTTCCACGATAACGGAACTTTCGGTCAGAGGAACATTTCCTCTGACCAGCAGTGCCATAGGTGAACATGGAGCCAGCTTCCTGTGCGATCAGGAATCTGGGCAGCGAGTAACTAACCCGCCTCCCGGCTTCATGATTGGCCGGAAAGACAACTTCCCAGCCAATCAGCATCGAGCTGGCTTCCCAGCCAATCAGGAACATTACCTGCTGCTCGGCTTCCTGACTGGCCGGGAAGCCAGCTCGATGCCGATCATGCTTGGTCGGGAACCCGGCTTCACAGCCAATCAAGCTGGCCAAACATGGAGCCAGCTTCTCGGGCAGATTGTCGGGAAAGCTGGATCCATGCCAGCGGAAGCACCGGTATCGGTACTCAGTATCGACGAGTAGCGAAAGCAAAATATCGCTCTACTCAATACCGAAAAACCAGCATCAGTGCTTCCCTACCTTGTACATAAACGCACCTAAAAGGTGCCTTCTACATCCCACAGGTAAATTTTCTCTTAACGGTCTTGAAGTAACAGATAAGTAACAAGTAATGAAAGAGCTGAAATACTTCTTAGAGAAAACCTTGGGCCATTGCGCATGTAATGATATTTAGCCATGTGTTTTTCTGTAATACACCTCTCAGGGGCAGACTTAGTTTGAAGTATGCAGTGATTAGTTGGATTACTATGACAATAGAAGTGTTGAGCTCTAACATGGCTGGAGTGGAAGAAAGGGTAAGGGTGACAGACTGGAACCACCAATGGCAGTATTTCAATGCCAATGGCTTCCTTTTAAAGGGTCAGTCTCTATGGGCATCAGGCATTTAACAAGACTTCTGGGTGAGATGGTAGCCTCCTATCAATCATGTCCTGACTGACCGCAAAGACAGGGTGGCTTGTGAAGGGCTGGAGAGCAGGATTAGAAAGAAAGTGGGAGAGTGAAGGCATCTGAAGAAAGGGATGGAAGGTGTGGAGAGATAGAGGACCAGGAGAAAAAGGGACCATGTGATATAAAAAGAGGGCCAAGAGTAGGGCAAGTGAGACTGGGTAGGAAAGAGAAGTACTTGATGACCGAAACAAAAGCCATGTAGAGGAGGGATTTGGTGAAAGGACAGCAAAAGGTCAAAGAAAGGATTTGGTCAATGCCATTATGACAACAAGCCAGGAATTAACAGGACATCACAGCACAGTAGCCAGGACCAGGGAGTACAAGGTCCAAAATTTAGGAACAGACGACGACTCAAGAACACCGGATTACTGCCAAGAACTAGTGCACTCCCGCTATGGATGGATGAAAAGTTGAAGCCTCGAGCAGGCCGGCTCTACTCCCATTTCACGACTCAAACTATTATTATTATTATACAGGATTTCTATAGCGTCAACAGTTTGCGCAGTGCTTTACAATATACGGAAGACATTACAATCACAATACAATTCAAGACAAGACGGTAAGGAGGGCCCTGCTACAATGCTGTCTGGACTGTTAGGAAGAATTACAGCCAACTACGCACAGCGGTTCTAAAATAAACTTTAGCAATTGCTGTATGAATATATACAGATTAAATAGAAGCCTCTTCTCCCCCCTTTAGTATGTGCCTGAAGGTCATCCTGTTGTAAGATCTCCTACAATAGAAGATGACATTACAACGTATTGTTCAGCGACAGATCCGAATCTTCCGAGAGCTGCCAGAAATATATTCATAGGATTTGCCTCCCCCCCCCC